ATTATTATTGGATGAAGCATGGAAGGGTGCTGAGCAACAGCCTAAAAACTCCTTTTTGTGTTGGATAAATTCTTCTTTGTGCAAACTGTGTCACTGGATAACTCATGAAGATCATAGAATCATAGACTCACAGAATGGTTTAGGTTGGAAAGGACATTAAAGATCATCTAGAGCCAATGCCCCTGCATGGGCAGGGACTCCTCCAACTAGACCAGGTTGCTCCAACCTCCACCCAACCTGGCCTTCAACACTTCCAAGGATGGGGCATCTGCAGCTTCCCCAGGCAATGTGGGCCAGTGTCTGAATGATCTGAATTTAGGGTGTGTAACAATATAGTTCACTATCTTGCATTTACATTGGCCAATTGCAAGTTCAAGCAAACATGTCATCTGAAGAAACCAGGTGCTTATGATCTCTTCTGTGCAGTGTTAATCAGATGCCCACTACAGCTCACCATCCAGGACACTGCTTAAAGACATATAAGGGAGACAGGACCTGTAGGGAGAGAGACTATTTCTCATTCATCCTACCAATATACTCAGGAATAAATTCACAGACCATGGGCATACACGTATTTTCCACTGTGGTTGCCAGTTTCCTTTGGTTGTTTTGTTTGTTTGCTTGTTTTCTGTTCCTGTCTGTACTGTTGGTTGAATACATGAATACACACTTGTCCTTCCCTTCCCAGGTCAGCTTTCTAGCTCACAGGGGCCTCACACAGCAAATCCTTTTGGCTAGCATGGGGCAGAGACATCATTGGATTAAACAATAATGGCTTGTCCCAGTGTTTTGGTGAAGGGAGAACAAATTTAATTTTTTCTGATTTACGTTTTCTGAACTGAATTATTTAACAATTAGCTGGTGCCTTATTATGAATCAAAAATACTTAATGAATGCTTAACTGCCACATAGAGGTGTTGCGAAGATTAATTAGGTAAAGTTTATAAAATGCTTTGCACCACTTAATTATTATTGGATGAAGCATGGAAGGGTGCTGAGCAACAGCCTAAAAACTCCTTTTTGTGTTGGATAAATTCTTCTTTGTGCAAACTGTGTCACTGGATAACTCATGAAGATCATAGAATCATAGACTCACAGAATGGTTTAGGTTGGAAAGGACATTAAAGATCATCTAGAGCCAATGCCCCTGCATGGGCAGGGACTCCTCCAACTAGACCAGGTTGCTCCAACCTCCACCCAACCTGGCCTTCAACACTTCCAAGGATGGGGCATCTGCAGCTTCCCCAGGCAATGTGGGCCAGTGTCTGAATGATCTGAATTTAGGGTGTGTAACAATATAGTTCACTATCTTGCATTTACATTGGCCAATTGCAAGTTCAAGCAAACATGTCATCTGAAGAAACCAGGTGCTTATGATCTCTTCTGTGCAGTGTTAATCAGATGCCCACTACAGCTCACCATCCAGGACACTGCTTAAAGACATATAAGGGAGACAGGACCTGTAGGGAGAGAGACTATTTCTCATTCATCCTACCAATATACTCAGGAATAAATTCACAGACCATGGGCATACACGTATTTTCCACTGTGGTTGCCAGTTTCCTTTGGTTGTTTTGTTTGTTTGCTTGTTTTCTGTTCCTGTCTGTACTGTTGGTTGAATACATGAATACACACTTGTCCTTCCCTTCCCAGGTCAGCTTTCTAGCTCACAGGGGCCTCACACAGCAAATCCTTTTGGCTAGCATGGGGCAACTTGCCTGACTCAGAAGACATGTAGCTCAAAGCAGGAAATAAATGCATGTATGTCATAAAGCTGCCAGGAAAACATAAATACTTGATTTATACCAACAGGAAAACAGAAATACTTAATTTATACCAAAATTCTTCCTTGGCCAGCCTGTAATGCTGTAATGCTTGTTACAGTAACTTGCTTTCTCACAGTCTGACTTTTCCTGGGTACACAGTCAATAGGGTTCATTATTGGTTGCAATTTGTGCACATGGCATAATAAAGTGTTTCACTCAGATGGCTTCAGTGCCCGAACAAACCTGGGGTGCTGCAGCTGACAGGGGGTTATCAGACAACCCCACAATGCCAGTGCCTGCCATCAGGGGGACTAAGCCCTGCTTGCTCCAGCAGTGACAAGGCTCACAGACTTGTGGTGAGGATAAATATGAAGAGAGAAAAAAACCACTGTCCTCTTATTTCAGTGTTTTATTTTTCCTCCATGTGCTAACAGAGGATCCAGACCCACTATTACGTACTGATCGCATTTGGTCTTATTTCACAGCCAGAAAGCACTTCCATCTGTCTATTTATCTCCATGGCCCATAGCACAGCAGATAGATGAGTGTCTCATTAGCAGATTTATCTTTTCAGCACTGCTGCAAGGCAGGGAAGTACTGTTACCATCTCAGCTGCCTCTGGTTTAGAGATAAGGAAGCAAAACACACACAGTGATTTGCCCAAGGTCAGACAGCAGTCAGGGAAACTGAGGCACCACACATTCCTGGCCATGAGCAGTCCAGTGGCCATTCTCCCGATGGAATAACACTGATGAGTTGGGGCCAGTTACACTGATAATGGGAGAAGCAAATTAATACAACAGCTCATTTTGAGCAGCAAAAGGTCTTCTACAGGAAATTGTTAAAGTATTTTTTTTCAGCTTGTTCAGCCATGGGTGCAAATGTTCCTTGAGATACAGGTATTTGCAGGAGATCAAGTTGACTCAAAGCAAAGGTCACTTTTCAGCAACTGAAATGTCAGATATTCATAGCATGGTTTGGGTTGGAAAGGACCTTACAGATCATCTAGAGCCAACTCTCCTGCATGGGCAGGGACACCTCCCACTAAACCAGGTTGCTCCAACCTCCACCCAACCTGGCCTTGAACACTGCCAGGGATCGGGCATCTACAGCTTTCCTGGGTAATCTGGGCCAGTGTCTCACCACCCTCACAGTGAAGAATTCCTTCCTAATGACTAAAACCAACCTTTTCAGCAGGTGTTGGTAGCACCAGGAATGCTTCCCTCCTCCTGAGCACTGGTGCCAGCCATGGGGTCAGCTCTGCAAGGAAGCACCTGCGTGTCTCTCCTCACCAAAACATTTTCCTTCAAGGCTTTCTGAGAGCTTGCATACCCCCACTGAGCCTCTTATTCTACTTCTTCCCAGCTTGGGAGGCTCACAAATACATGCCTTTTAATGTCATTTCAAAAATAACCAATCAGTCCAGCAATCTTTACTCACACATGCAGAGAAACTGAAGTCAGCACTCAAGGTGCAAGTATCTCATCAAGAAGATACATGAGCATGAAGCAGAGACTGCAGAGCTGCAGACACTGTCCTCTCTGCACCCATCCTTCTTTCTCTGCAAACAGAACATCTCTTCATCACAGGCTCTTCTGTGTCATAAACATGCTTCAGAAACACACTACTTCACATCAGTTCTCATTCTCTAGGGCAGAAGTTCACCAGGATACAAGAAGTCACCAACATCTGCACAGAAAACACCAGCATCCATTACAGCTGTAAATAAACAGAAATTACATATAACATGGCTTTTAAGTAAAGGAAGGGATTACTCTAAAATTCCATGTAAAACCTTTTCATGCTGATCTCTTCTCCTCCACTAGCAGCCAGCCAGCACACTGTTCCTTCCCTGGGACCTGCAGTGCCATCCTTAGGAGTACCAGGGAAATGGGCACCCAGAGGAGAAGGCAGGATCAGCCCCTCTGCTCAGCCACTGCCACGTTCCTGGGGGAAAAACAGACTTTTGACTATTTTAATAATATCTCCCCAGAATCCTTGTTTTCAGTAGCCTGACAACAACTAACTCCAAATGGAAATCAGACCATGCCATGAACTATATTTCCTTCAAATCCCTTTTGTCACTTAA